TGTACTCACGATCCCATGCGCGGGATTCAAACCGAGTACCCATGGTCTTGTGCGAAAACTTTCAACCCTTAGACCACTGAGCCGGTGTTAACAATCTCTGCAACCTCACGCTGATAATTCTAATTTTGATGATTTACCTAATGAAGTTCGGACCAATTTACTTTGGCAAAATGTTGAGAATACTTAATTTGTAATCAATGAGATTATTTCAAATATATATTTTCACATATATTTGAGCTTTCTTCAGTCAGTCAGTCAGTTACAACGTAGGACCAGGCACATACATGCATCGGTCCAAGTTGTCACATCACATTAGCACAGTAAGATGAACAAAGGATTCATAGAAGCAGTTAACCCTATGGTGTAATATATAAAGTGCAAAAAGAAAGAATTAGTTCGTACAAACAAAGATATGAAATTATTTTAATCTCACGGTTTAACAGAACACAAAGAGTATATACACCGATGCTATTGTGATCAATTCTGAGTCATGTCACCAAGAGTCGTCAACCATTAGTTACGACGGCCACGCGGACCCTATCCAAGTAGTCTGCATCTACCAACATGGCTCAGACTGGAAGTTAGGGACTTCACGGACTGATGCCATGTTTTGGTTTGAACCCCCCTAACTTTCTTCCAACCGTGTCCAACATTAGTCAATATTGTGCGTAATGGTAATCGGTATTTAGGCATACGTAGCACGTGGCCCAACCATCTCAGTCGATGAAGATTTACAACCTCATCAACTGATCTATCATCATTCCAAAATACCTTGCGTCTAACCTCACTATTACTGTTGTAACGGGTGGACTGCAGGTTTTGATAAGCAGCGTTTATATCGAACGAATCAGTGACACGTAAAACACGCAAGGACGACCTAGAGTCTCGATTGGTCCCGCTTCCCTGTCTAGCCCAGCCAGTTGAGTTGAGAACGCAAGTCACAGCCTCTGAGTTATGAATCATTATATTTCAAACATACTCTATTTATATACTAACCAAACAGACCACATCGTACCATAAAAATAGAAAACAACATTTACACAATATCTAACGAGTGAAATAAATAACGGCCAATAGGGAATGTCCATTTCGAGTCCAAGGACATAATTAGACTTAACATGATAATGATTGGCACATTATTCCTCAGCATCCATAACAATTACTTACCTGGTGATCCCAGCAGATGCGAGCATTATTACGAGCAATTTACGAATATCTTCTACTCTTAATGGCCACGTTTCATAGTCGTACATTAGAACAGAACGAACTGTTGCGCAATATACTCATCCCTTAATTGATAGACGAATATCTCACTTTCTTCTCTTTTTTTAAAATATAATCCTTGTACATTAAATACTGTTAACCTCATTTAACTAGCTATACGGTCAATAAAGCCATTCCCTCTATGGAAATTATTATAATTATTATTATTACCTACTTCAACATGTGACGTAACAAAATAGAACTGAAAATCGACTTTCTTTTGTCTTTGATTTTGGAAAAATTAAAAGAGTATTAATCATTGTAATAAATTCTCTTTTCTTTTTAGTGTTGATGTAATTCATAATTGTAGTGTACATTACTAATACATTAACTAGTGAGATCATTCTTAATGGATTATTGTTGTAGGGTTAGATGTTCAAAAAGAAACTTATAAAATCACACAGGCGTTATATTATAAAAGTCTAGAATTATTTTCATTATAAGGTTTTATGGAGATCATAAAATGTTCACAGTTTATATCTTTAACTGATGTTAGTTATATCACTGTTTTTAAAATCTGAAAGCTCTAAATTTCCGTTTTGTCCTAATGTCAAAATCAGGTACATGTATACACCGGTTAAGGTTACCATACCCCAGTAACACAAAGATGAAATGGTTAAGAAAATGGTAGAATAGTAAAGATTGTTGGAGAGAACAAACCAGATTGTAGTGGAGGAGGAAATCAGGAAAAAGCGCTGGAACTGGATAGGACACACATTGAGGAAAGCATCCAACTGCGCCACAATACAAGCCCTCACATGGAATCCTCAAGGCCAAAGGAAAAGAGGAAGACCAAAGAACACACTACGCCGGGAAATGGAGATAGATATGAGAAAAATGAACAAGAATTGGATGGAACTAGAAAAGTAAGCCCAGGACAGAGTGGGTTGGAGAATGCTGGTCTGCGGCCTATGTTCCATTAGGAGTAACAGGCGTAAGTAAGTAAGAATAGTAAAGATAGTAAAAATATTAGCGGTAATAGAAAAGACTAGACATCAAAGATACAGTCCAAAAAAATAAGTTGATGAAATAAAACAAAAAGTTCAAAATGTGAGGTAAGACAAAGAATAACTGGATCTATGCCATTTCAATCAACTTTGAGCCATGTGATTCAAAGTCGCTAATCACTGGTTATGATAATGACACAGACTCCAACCAGGTAGTCTACGCTTATTAATATAGCTCAGTCCAATTGTCACTGACTTCATAGATTGGTGCAATGTTTTGGTTTGGCCGCCCCTGGTTTTCTTTCAGCCTACTCCTATACCAGACAACATCGAGCGTCGTAGTGGGTGGCTGTTGGGATTACGTAACATATAGCCCAACCATCTCAGTTGATGAAGATTTACTACCTTGCCATCTTTACCTCATACCTTATTCTAAATCGAGGCTTTCCTTACTCAGGGGTCACAAAATACACATAGAAGACACCTACGATCAAATACAAGTAATCCAAAGTATTCTCTATTCTTAACAGCTATATTTCACATCTATAAATTAAAACAGCCCAAGTTACTATGTAGTATACTCGTCTTTTATTCAAGAGACAGGTGTCTCACGTACGTTATAAGTGACACAAGTTGATCGAGATTTCGTTAGACACATGATCATTAGATGACTTTCTGTTATCTTTGAACCGATCAGTAGGTCACTTGACCAACCGATTTTCTATTAAATGTACAATATCTCTGAATTGTTTGACTAAAATCTTATCTATTATTGAATATATTACCTTAACCAGTATAATAATGAACAGAGTAGCACTTAGCTCACTGGTTCGAATCCGATATATTAACTTTATTTTTACTTTAATTCATTATGTTCTTCAAAAGAAAAAAAAAGAGACATATGGTAAATAGAAATTGTGATGTACTCCCAATTCAATTCCTACAGCTTAATCCATAATGTCAAACTTATTTTAAGGAAGAAAAATTGATGTATTTGATCAATCAAACAAGCCAAACGATAGGTGAAATATATTGATAAACACTCACTAATGGTCAAGATTTGTTTTTAATTTTTTTCGAGGAAACGGAAATACACTACTGACTAAAATATCTGGCTTGATTTTTTTTGAAGTAAACAGTTCTATGAATTGATAAGTGAGTTATGAATTTGTTTTCGATTTAGTTTCTTACTCACTTTTAGTTTTCTCATTCAAGTAAGTTGGTCTAAACAAGTATATAGAAAACGTATATATCAGTAGCAAACTTAAACTAGGTCAGAACATAAAATCATGTAAAATAATTTAATTATCATCCAAAACAAATATTATTAAACAAAGCTGTAATCATTGGAGTTTAACCGTATTTGTTGTGAGATGATAACTCACTGAAAACAATGATGGACGTTGGAACAATTTCATGGATTGGTTGAAATTAAACATTAACATCGTTGGATACTGTTATGTTTGAAGTGATTACGAGTTCACTTAGTCTACAAACGAAACAAAGACTCTTTGATCACAGATCAATAAGCTAGCTATTCTGATACGTCCCAGCCCCGCTAACTAGAGATAGAAGATTAAGTTTGAAACGGAGAAATTATGCTCCGCAAGCAGTCAAAAGTATGAGCAATCATGACGACAAATCTAGTCGGAAATACACTTATTTATAGATTGGTTTGTACACCCATTTTCGATGAATAATCAGAATAAATCACACATATAAAAAAGTACTTCATACAAGAATATCATATGTTATATAGAATAAAATGTCATAGGGGGGAAATGAAACCGAATACTATACTAAGTGATTATGAAAATTGAATCAAAACGGAATTAATGTTAAATACAAATTATAATGCGTAAATCAATCTAATTTTGACTTTTCATCCCGTCATAACAGATACCGACTCAGTGTTCTAGAGGTAAAGAGTCTGCGGGTGGGATCATGGGTGCGCACTGCTGGAAGGTCTGATACTAAGACGAAACGATCGTCCAATGCTTTTAGGTTTTCTATGGTTATCTAGCTTTAACTGACTAATGAATTCAACTATTAAATAATTTAATCGCCATTCAAAAAATATTATTAATTTTAATAGTTGAAATCATGAATCAATTGAAGCTAGACCAGCATGGAAAACCTGGAAGCACTGGACGGCCGTTTCGTCCCATTGCGGGACTCCCCAACAGTGAGCATCTGCGATTCCATCTGACGCGATTCGAACTCAGGATCTATCGGCCTGGTGCGTGAGCGCTTAACCACTAGGCCACTGAGCTGTCCGGCATCTAATTTTGGTAATGTCTAACTTCAACTAATCCACGAGGTTGCGCTACCGTCCACCATTGTCATCAGTGAGTCACTATCTCACCACTGACCCGGTTGAACTCCACCGTTCAATGCTTCTCAATAGAACTCCAGGATATACCTCTTGAAGCCAGTCATTAGTGAGTATATATTGCTTAATATCAGAAAGGGGTTTTGTGTATGTTATAGTAATTTCAATAGTTGTGATCATGAGTTAATTGAAGCTAAATCACCATGGAAAACCTGTGTTGAGGAGTCCCACAATAAGACGAAACAGCCGTTCAGTGCTTCAAGGTTTTCCATCCTGGTCTAGCTTCAATTGAGTCATGATCTCAACTATTGAAATTACTATAATATTTACAAAACCACTTCTAAAAATATTGTTAATCAAAGTCAAGAAAAAAAACCCGAACTAAATCAATACAAAGTTACAATTCACTACTTTTCTAAATAATCTAATTAACACATTTACAAAAATTAGTGTTCAACATGGACTTCTATCATCATGAAAATGATGATGATGATGATGATGATGATGATGATGATGATGATGATGATGATGATGATGATGATGATGATGATGATGATGATGATGATGATGATGATGATGATGATGATGATGATGATGATGATGATGATGATGATGATGATGATGATGATGATGATGATGATGATGATGATGATGATGATGATGATGATGATGATGATGATGATGATGATGATGATGATGATGATGATGATGATGATGATGATGATGATGATGATGATGATGATGATGATGATGATGATGATGATGATGATGATGATGATGATGATGATGATGATGATGATGATGATGATGATGATGATGATGATGATGATGATGATGATGATGATGATGATGATGATGATGATGATGATGATGATGATGATGATGATGATGATGATGATGATGATGATGATGATGATGATGATGATGATGATGATGATGATGATGATGATGATGATGATGATGATGATGATGATGATGATGATGAAAATTTTCCGTTTCATTTTTTCTTTACCGTATTTTTTCTCCTTAATCATCTACTTTACTCATTCTTTTTGGAAGGTAGGGAAGAAAATTTATTTCGTTTCAGTGGATCAACTAAGTTGGGTTAAATAGAGATGTAGAAAAAAAGAAAAAAGCAAAAACAAAGAATAAACACAACGAAAAGAACACGTATAAAATAATAAAATTGTCGGTCATCACGTATAAAACTGAATGAGAAATGAACTTCATTTGATTGTGTATTTTATAAACAAAATAGTTAAACACATTTAGTATTATCCGAAGGGGTTTTTTGGAGATTTTAGAAATTTCACAGATTGAAATCATGAGTTAATTGAAGCTAGACCACCATGGGAAACCTGGAAGCACTGGACGGCCATTTCGTACTGTTGTGAGACCCCTCAACAGTGAGCATCCACGGTCCCGTCAATCGCAAGATTCGAACCCAGGGCCTACCAGACTTGCGCCAGGAGGTTAACCAACTAGACCACTGAGCCGGCATGCAACAGTGTTGATGTCTAACTTCAACTAATCCATGAAGTTGCGCCGCCGTACATCATTGTCTTCAGTGAGTTGGTATCTCACAATAGATCTGGTTGAACTCCACCCATACTAGGACGAAACGGCCGTCCAGTGCTTCTAGGTTTTCCATGGTAGTCTAGCTTAAATTGACTCATGATTTCAATCTGTGAAACATTTGGTATTGTTTGCTTGTATCTTTCTAATGTTGTATAGGATTGCAATAGTTCAATCTGTTATTGGTTTATGTGTATCCTGTGTGAATTTGATTCAATATTACTTTAAGTCATAAACATTATAAGTTTCGATAGATAATGACTAGTAATGGAATATAGAATGTATGTTTCGTCCTATTTAGGACTCGTCAACTCGGTATACCTGTATTCCTTGAATTGTTATTCACTCCAGGACTCAAAACGAATACTGTTCACTTCAAATGCTATCAAGTGTATTCATTTAACTAAAGAGGATAAACTAGTTAAACTATTCAAATGAATATGTCCAAATATTAATTTAAACAATATTTATTATGCAACAAATTATTTATCTTTAAAAGTAAATAATGACACGATTATTAGTTTATAAAGAAATAAACAAACAAACAGATTCTTTGCATAACTTCAATAGAATTTACAAACACATACAATTTTCCATATACATATAGAATACTATTCAAATATGATCAAACCAATCAAAATGAAGTAAGAGAATTTCCAAGTTTTGAATCTGATTAAAAAAAAGAACTAATGGAGAATAGGATAGAATGGTGGTTGACAGTAGTCAATAGAATACCCTGGATCTGGATTTTGTACTATTTGACACTCGTCAACAAGGTGTACCTGTAATCATAGTGGAACTGGTGCTCCCTGATGGATTCGATCCCATGTCATCCAGCTTCAGAGTCAGAGACGTTACCACTGAGCTATCTTGGCCGCGACCGACTTCCTGTAGGACTGAAATGTATTCACAATTGATTGATTACAGGTACACCTTGCTGACGAGTGTCAAATAGCACAAAACCCGAGTCTAGGGTTTCCTATTGAATACCTTCAACCACCCTCTAATCTCAACATAGTGCACGCAATGTCGAGTCACCTAGATTAGTGGCCTTATTGCAATTTGGTCGTTAGCATTCGATCTGCACTAAGAATCAGTTGACACACATGACATTGATCACCACCCAGTAATCAATCAATTGTGAAAAGTAATATGTTCTGAATTGAGTTTATTATGTAAACAGTAACATTGATATAGATGTATTTCCATTATGATAAGTTAGAAATAGAACAAAAATACACTTGTCTTTCCACGTAGATGCGCACTGTTGAAGAGTCCTACGACGGGACGAAACGACCGTCCAATGCTTTCAGGTTTTCCATGGTGATTTAGCTTCAATTAACTCATGAATTCAACTATTAAATTAATTATGCGACAGATACATTGATAGTGTTAATAGTCTAAGTTAAAATCATAACAGCTTCATTATAGTTTAACATTACTTAATAAATAAGAATCATTCATTTCAAACTAAAGATTAATAAATATCACAATCTTAGTGATAGCTTTGGAAGATCAAGTTAGATTTCCTTGAAATTTAATCACTTCACAACATGAATAGTTATATTAAGATAGACTCATAGTAAAACGACTTTACTTATCTGGTAATTGTTTCTACACCTTTTTATGTCATTGATTTTTTTTATATATGATGTGTTTTTAGAGTGGTTTTTCTTTACAGTATATACACAAAGGGAAAAGCAAGATTCTCCGATACAACACAGCATGCACCAATCCAGTCACAATTGATGGAGAAGATTTAGAAGATGTAAAATCCTTTACATATTTGGGCAGCATCATTGATGAACATGGTAGATGTGGTACATATGTGAAGGCGCGGATCGGCAAAGCAAGAGCAGCATATTTACTACTGAAGGACATCTGGAACTCAAAGCAACTGTCAACCAACACCAAGGTCAGAATCTTCAATACAAACGTCAAGACAGTTCTACTGTATGGGGCGGAAATTTGGAGAACTACGAAAGCCATCATCCAGAAAATACTGGTGTTTATTAACAGTTGCCTACGCAAAATACTTCGGATCCGTTGGCCGGACACTATTAGCAACAACCTACTGTGGGAGAGAACAAACCAGATTAGAGAGGGGGAAGAAATCCGGACGAAGAATTGCTGGAAGTGGATAGGATACACATTGAGGAAAGCACTCAACTGCATCACAAGACATGCCCTCACATGGAATTCTGAAGGCCAAATGAGAAGAGGAAGACCAAAGAACACATTACGCCGGGAAATGGAAATAGACATGAGAAAAGTGAACAAGAATTGGATGGAATTAGAAAAGAAGGCGGAGGACAGAGTGGGTTGGAGAATACTGGTCGGCGGCCTATGTTCCATTAGGAGTAACAGGTGTAAGTAAAAAAATTTCTTTACAGTATATTGTTGCTAGCCTCATACCTAACTCTCCATCTTTATCCAGGCTCAGAACTTGGAGTAACCATAGAAAGTCTACAGATGGATCTATAAACAATTGTTTACGAAAGATAATTAATGTCTGTTGGTTGGATACCATCAGCAACAGCCTACTATAAGAGAGAACAGACTGAATTCCAGCTGAGGAAATGAGAAAACACTGGGAGCGAATAGCACATACATTCAGGAAAACACTAAACTGACTGCATCACGAGGCAAGCGCTAATTTGAAATCTTGAAGGGAAACAGTAAAGAACATAGTGAGCTGAAAATTGGAAGCAGACATGAAAATGATGAATAGTAACTGGAAACAACTGGGAAGGATTGTCCATGACAGAGTTACATAATAGATTGTACAATAGAAAGTAGATAAATTTAGTTGGCCAGACGTACATTATATTAATATTATCATTATTTATACTAATCCACACTGTACTGTACCGTTTATTTATTTATTTATTTATTTGGTAAATATTTATTTTTTAAAAAAAGTTTATTTTGTTTACTCTCAATGGTGATAACAAACAAACAAACAAGCAAATGAACAAATTGGTTGTACAATTCATTTCTTTTATTATTAGAATTTTTCAAACAGAGTTGAAAATAAAAAAGTAAAAATAAATAAACATACGAATGAATTCCTTATTTTAAAAGCATAAATTGGGTTCGAATCTCGCAGGGGGCGAGGTCGTGGATGCTCACTGCTGAGGACTCCCGCAATAGGACGAAACGGCCGTTCAGTACTTTCAGGTTATTGATGATGGTTTAGCTTCAATTGACTCATGATCTTAACCATTGAAATTACTATAATATCCACAAAACCCATCTGGCATAACTTTGTATTAATTCATTGTAAAACAGATTACATTTATAATAGATTAATCATTGAATAATAACCGATGTCATCATAATTGATTGATCACTTAATGGTGATCAATGTCATGTATGTCAAGTCTTTCTTAGTGTAGATTGAATGTTGTCAACACAGGATCGAATCTATCAGGGAGCACTAGTTCTCTGAAGATAACATGTATACCTTGCTGACGAGGGACAAGTAACACGAAACCCGGGTCCAAGGTTTCCTGCTGATTAATTTCAACTGCAAATCAAGAGTTTTCGTACATTCTATGTGTTATCGAATTACTTTTGGAATCATTAGTTATCTACCTTCAACCACCACTTAACCGATGTTGTATTTGTCTAATTTTTTTTAGTAATGAAATAATTCTGTCGACCTATAAGTTCCAATCTAGTCATTATTATTATGTGTTAGGTGGTTGGAAATAGCCAGGAGGAAACCTTAGACATATGTTCTGTGCTTGTTGGAACTTGTTAGCAAGAACTTGAAGTATAAGCTAATCAACTTATATCGAAGTTATGCACGAATGAAGACCAATTGTTTTGCTCAAGTAAATTTAATAACTGGAAACATTTAACCTTAATTACCAATCATTTACAATGATTATTAAAGGATTACTATTGTTATCATTCCATTATATGTATATATATAATGAGGGAATATATAGGTTTTGGTGGCATGATAATCTAATACTCACAATAATCCATGGTGGTCTAGCTTCAGCTGACTGATGAACTCAAATATTAAATTACTATAATATTCACAAAAAACCCTTTCTGATAATAATCTACAATTTCACTTGAAACGAAGTAAAAAGGATCATTTTTCAACGAAATATTAGTTCAAACAATCTTCTTATCTTCTTCTATGTGTTAATCTACCTACCTATCTGCATACACGCCTCTCGTTTATCGTCCATCGCTCCCTCTCTTCCTAGTTGCTTTCATTGTGGAATATATGAGAATTGGTTCACAACTGATTAATTGCTTCTTATTGATCAGTGAAACGCTAGTCTAGTCCTCCATAATGTTGATAGAACTCTATCAGACAATTCTAAAGAGTTTGCCTACATACCACTTCTATATGAGTCGATGATACTTACTTACTTACTTACTTACTTACTTACTTACTTACTTACTTACTTACTTACTTACTTACTTACTTACTTACTTACTTACTTACTTACTTACTTACTTACTTACTTACTTACTTACTTACTTACTTACTTACTTACTTACTTACTTA